ACTCGGTGCCCACTGAGCGAGTATATAAACGCTCAGCTTGTAGATTGTACTTTAGTTTATAATCATCTGCTGATGATGCTAACATGGTTAGCGAAACGCGCGTCCAGTGTAAAATAAAAGTGTTTTGGTGTTTTGTGTTGATTTAGTGTTTTTATTTTGCTGAGATATATTCACTATAATTCTTATAAGGTGTCTTCAGATATAATCTATAGTCTATACTATACTAATTTTTATATTGATTTATATTTTTGAATTCAAAGATTTAATACAAAAGAAGCTTGAGTCATAAGATAGAATAGTTTAAAGGAACATAAATGGTAGTTTCCAATTTAAATAGCCGTTTATTTATACCACACGACCAAAGAAAACTACGTCCTCGAAAATGGCTTGGAAATGAAGATCGCTGTAATTTTGTATGTAAAATTATATGGGGAATGTTATCGATCGGCATTACTAAGCTAGTTGGACGCCGTTTTTTTTTATCTATACCGTATTTATTTGATTGTGTACATGAGCATACTATAGGTAATATTTACTCAATTGCTGTATACCGGGTGCGTCTCAAAAGTGGCTCACCTTTATAACTTTTTTATTTTTTCAGATAAAAAAACAAGATTTGGTATGTTAGTACATGACGTAAATCAGGATTGAATGACGTATTCAATTCTTTTAGGCCACTTTCTGTTTCTCCGGATATGACTACAACTTTTGATTTTTAAATAGCACTCTCGGTATTTTTTTACTTTATTCGATAGAAAATAACACTCTGAATAGAATGACATATCATATGTCACCTTTTTACATTTTCGCTTAAAACAAAATCGTATTTTAAATTTTAATCTACAGTGCCATGGCTATGTTAAAAACACTAATTTTTAATCAAGGAGTCTTGGAAAAATACATTTGATCGTCTAATGTTCTAGTGTCTTGTCCTGATCGGTTAAAAGATGCCCAATTCGCATGTTTAAACATATCTAAATTTTTTCAAATGGAACGAAGGTGGCTCATTAGCATATTTGAAAAAAGCATTTTTTACGAATAATTTGGTACCACACACGTGGTATTTCGAGTCAAATTGTCATTATGAACCTTAGATTAACAATTATGAACCACACATGTTGCAATTTCAAATAAACCATATTCAAAAGTTGACATATGATACGTCATTCTATTCAGAGTGTCATTTTATATCGATTAAAGTAAAAATATACCGAGGGTACTATTTAAAAATCAAAAGTTATGGTTATTTCCCGTGAAACAGAAAATGACCAAAAATAATTCAATACGTCAATTAATTCTAATTTTAACAATCCTAATTAAATTATATAATATTTAATAAAAAAATATATAATTTAATATTCGCCCGGTATATTTTAGAAGAGATTTTTTTTAAATTATGTCACATGATTTTATAAAATATACATCAATATTATATAGGGTGAGCCAAATTCCATTGGGATCTCGCGCGAATACTATAAGATATTACCCTTGTTTATATATTACGAAGGACGTTAAATTTTGATAATGTTTCTCCATTTTATATTCAATAAAATTAATTTTTTAACCATTTTGCAGATTAAAAAATATTTCCGAATACTTCTGCAGACATTCCAAAAACAAAACGAAATATAGTAAAATCATTTTTAATTGTTCCAAGATTGATTTGAAGAGATATTTTAAAATAAATGTTACTTCATCATAGTATAGTCACTTTTTTATATCTAATAGATTATGCAATTAAATGTCAAATCTGCGACTTCTCTGAGATACCATCATCAACTCTATTCTTTAAGAGTCCATTTCACTGGTCTGAAAATGTAGCAAAATAAGCATTCGGCGTTCGGCGTTCGGCGTTCAACGTTTTATGTAAATCTGGCTAGGTATTTTTACACAAATGAAGAAGGAAATTAAAGATAAAGGATTATTCTTTATCCGCATTGTAGCACATTTTAAGACAACTTCTTTATTTTTAAGATTTTGATGATATCATAACAAACATAATTTAAAATTTCGTTCGCGGAAATAGATTATTGAAGTTTTGTGATTACAGTGATATATAATTCATATGGTTTTGTAACAAATTGCTCGTTATTTTATGGCAAATGCTGAAGCTCTGCAAACCTTAATCAAGCCTTAATCACAGCACGTTTGTTTGGAATTTTGGGTGTGGCTTACACGACAGGATCAGGCTAAGCCTTAGCCCGCGGTTACATTGGACACGGGTCCGTGCGTTTTTTTAAACGTGCGAGCTCTGACGGAATTTACTCGCACGACTATTTTATTGTAGTGGTTACATTAGATGCGCGTTCATGTTGTCCTGTGTGTCGAGTTTGTCAAAACGGACGCCACTACTTTGATGCTGTCTGAGGATTTAATGTTAAAATAACTACTTATGAACACAAGAAAATGTTAGGTAAATGATTTATATGCAAGAAAAGGCAAAGAAAATGAATATGTAAAATATTTGGTGAATTAAAACAGCAACCGGTCAAATTTTTTAATATTTTACAATGTTTCCAGCAACATTAATATATCTAAAATAAAAATAAACCTGGTATTCAAAAATATTCAAATTTTTCGGAAATGTATTGGGCCCAGAGATATAAAAATTCGAACGCTCGGACGTGCACGTATTAAAAAAACAAACCAGTTTGTTTTCATCCGACCAACGGATATCGACGTACGTGCACGGACGCGCAAACTCCGATGCAATGTAACCGTCTGCATAGATACCATTTGCCATTTGTTTGATTTTTGCTGCGTGCACGTCCGAGCACGTACGACCAAAGAAACACACGGACACGCATCTAATGTAACCACGGGCTTAGGCAGATTTCTGAAATATAATATATATTTCCTTTGGCCACACATCCGTTATACCCGACCCCTGAGAGCGACCCGAAAGTACAGCCATAGTATAAGGAAACTAGTAGATTTACTCCTTGTCAAATTCTTTGTTCTTTTTCTGCCACTTTATATGACCTTGTTCTCGCCTCCCGTGACCACTGACGTAGCTGTATAGTTGTGGTCTATTAACTAGGCAAAGTATAGTCATTGCACTAGCCGTAGTTTCACAGATATGTATTTAGAAAAATATGAGTTCCCAAAAAAATAAATTAAAATAAATTGATCATCGAGTAAAAACTTGCTTGAAAACAGAATGTTTTCACATTTCGTGTAGGTAACAATTCTTCTGTATCTGAAAATCTTCTGAGGGGAAGAAATGCGGAAAATATATATAATGACATATTTTTATATTATTATATATTTCAGAGATTTTCTACAATTTTTTTTTTTGATTTAAAACAAGTTTAATTTTCTGTAGATAACTGGATTCTATTTAAAGCACACTGTGGTGTTGCCATATCTATTTCTTATTTACTAAAACTTTGGTTAAAAACATTATATATGAAAAGTGGCAAAACAATAGAGTGAATATAACTTTATTAATACTTAGCTATGTTTTCTTAAACATGACAAGGACACCAGAATAAATTCGTGTAGAAAAATTTACTTTATCGTATACAGGGTATTTTTTATGGCGTCACCAAAATCGTAATATTTAAAATGTTGTATCTCATTTTTTTTAAATGCAACACCTAGTATATTATTTTTCTTTCAGATGTAGAATTGAAAAGTGAATTTTTGTATTTAAAGTGTTCTTAAATTTTTAGGCGTTTTGCAAATATTTTCTGTATTTAATTACATATGGGATTTTCAACGATAAAATATCAGACAAAGATCATATTAGGTGGCTTTGATAAAAATTTACTGTTGAAAGAGCTATATGTAATATAATACTGCGAATATCTGCAAAACCGGTAAAAATTTAGAGAAACACTTTAAATAAAAAAATGTTCACTTTTTAATTCTTTATCTGACTGAAAAATAATATATAGAATGTTGCATTTAAAAAATTGAGATATACCATTTTAAATATTCCAATTTTGGGCGTCCCCGAAATCGCCATAAAAAATACCCTATATAGAATAATGTATATAGAATGATGTAAAATAATTAAAAAAAAATTAACTTTACCATAACTTTTTTGTGACACCCTCTATAAAACAAAATATTTTAGGATACGACCCTTTATAAACCTTGAAACGTTATATGAATAAAACTTTTTTCACATCTTCGACAAGAACGACGATATTGGACTTCCTCGCAATAATTGGCCACCCTGTATATTTACGGTGGTTTAAAGCTAGGTGTGGCACTTTTCTTCCCTCAAATATAAACTCAATATTTTGTCTATAATATTTTGAATATTGTTATATTACGACCACTTATAATAAAAAATAAATAAAATAAAAAACGTAAAAAAATACAGTCCACTAAATTCATAATAGATTATGCTATCATAAAATTCTTTCATTTAAAAAATATGAATAATTTGCGGAGACTTTTGATGTACAAAATATTTACTCTAAAATTGTTTCAAAAACCAATCTATATAAATTATCTCGTAAATTATTATTGGAATGAAAATTTTATGGCAAATCCCCTGACCAAAGAATATTTTCATGCGCATATTTGAGACAACCTGTATATCTAAAAAACTATTTCTAAGATTTGCCCACATGCTAAAAAAATAATAACATTTAATTAATTACCTAATATCTCCGCTTCTAAAATAAACAAATATAATTAAATGTTTATTGATAATTACTATTAGCTTGCCGATTTACATCCGATGGAAATCTAAAAAAACTCAAAGAACAATTTTTTGAATTATTACTACAATTAATAGCAGCACACAGTAAGGCACTCATTTTTTGTCAATCCGTCTCTGTGCTGGGACGCAACGCTCGAACCTCGCAGCTCGACGGAGGGGATTCAACTGAAACGCTTTGCAAGCTGCCGATATTCGACAGCTTGCAAAAACTGGCAGAAAATATTTGCGAGAGTGCAACTACTCTTTTCCTTAAACTATGGTACAGCGTTTAAAACATCTCTATCATTTTTTATCAGAATATTCAAATATAAACATTACTTACTTTGTTGAATAAGTCTGAAGATCATATTGTTCTCTTCTTGTGTTTCCAGGGAAACGAGATCCATACAGTACTCTCTACAAAGATTCCTGCCATCCAACCAATCCATTTTCTTATTAGCTAGGGCAGGTACGTGTCCAGTGAAGAAGTAATTGTGACCCCTGTACGAGAATTGTTTAGGCCCTGGAAATAGATAAAAATAATTAGAAATATGTGGTAGTAGAATAAGCGTCATAGTTTTACATTTTAATAAGCACAGTGTTAGCCTTTTATTTTGTCGCATTTTAACAAGTTTTAACTTTTTTATTCAATACGACCGAAAAAAAAACGGCGTCAAAGACGGCTGGAAAATTACAATCAATGAAAATCTTGGCGAGGCCAAGCCTAGACGTCCCTCCCCCATTACTGGGCCAGTAATTCTCCTTCTATTATTTCTATATTCTGCATAAACAATAATGTTCAACAATTTGTTTATACTTTTTAAATATTTATTGACTGCATCCATATACTCGTAATCTACAGGGTTGTTCACCACATACGACACGGAGTACTGTAGCGAAACGATTAGATTTTTGCAAATTGTAAGTCTTGGGTTCGTTGAAGGACTATTAGAGGTACAATTTAAAAATATTTATATAAAATACAGAGTGTCCCAAATAAATAAAAAATATTATAGTTGTATTTTTTTAAATAGAACACCCTGAATATTATTACATTTTTAGTTTCTACGATTAAAATAAAGGTAAATTTGATTAAGGTTTACCGCCTTTTAATCTTACCCTTTTCGAAATATTTAGGTTTTTGTTAAAATACAGTACCTAATAATTTTAATGTTTCATTTCTCTAGGCGTATTTAAGTTTTTAAAACCAAATATTGTGCTGAAGTTTTTCTATTTACTAAATTTTGTGTTGCAATAATAAAAATTATTACCTTATACAGAGTGTCTACAAAATTATTTTAAATAATTAGAAACTTTAAACGACAATAACTTGTTTAATTTAAATAAAACACTCTGTATATTTTATGAGAATTAGATGCATAATTTAATTGTCTATCTAATTGTATTATACAATTTTTTACCTATCTCTTCAAGTTTTCGTAGAAAATGCATTTTCTTATAATTTAGACCTCATTTATCAATATACCCATGGAATTTTTACATTTTATATTATTGTTATTAAAGATGTATCAAATTTTTAAAGAGTACAGATACTAATACTGCTTTTATAGTTAATTTATTTCATTAAAAAAATAAAAAAAACTGTTTAAATATTTGTTAAAGAGGACCAGTTAATATGATTCCAGTATTCAAACTACATTAATTGACTGTTTGCGTTGATTAATAATAATTGCTCCAAATACTAAAAAATTGAATTTTATTTTTATTTTATTTAAACTTATTATTATATTGATTTCTGATTCAAATCCACATTTATTTAGAATAATATATTAACTAACACAATTAAGTATATAATTAATTAATATTTGGGCGGAAATAATGGTGGTCTATTTAATTAATGGTATACTATTTTATAAAGATTTAAATAGTTTTCTTTTTGTATACAAATGGGCTAGTAATATTATCCTTTTTAGCACTTGTTTATTTTGTACATTTGCTGCTTTAAAATCAATCTAAAATGTCAATATTCCATGGGTATGTTGATAAATGAGGTCTAAATTATAAATATAATTATAATATAATAATAATAATAATAATAATAATAATAAATAAATAAAAATTATAATATAATAAAAAAAATTAAAATATATTATTATTATTTTAATTAATTATATTTTTATTATTTTCAGGTACAAAATGGCGTAATAAAATTTGATAGACAATTAAATTGTGCATTTGATTCTCCTAAAATATATAGGGTGTTCCATTTAAATTAAATAAGTTATTGCCGTTTAAAGCTAGGAATTATTTAAAATACATTTTTAGACACTCTGTATGAGGTAGTATTATTTTTATTATTGCAACACAATAACTGATCAATAAATGAACTTCAGTAAATATTTAGTATTAAAAACTTTGATACCCTTGGAGAAACGAAGCCTTAAAATTTTTACTGCAATTTCACAAAATTGAAAATATTTCAAAAACGGCAAGGTTTAAATGTGATAAACCTTAATCAAATGTATCTTTATTTTAATCGTAGAAACTAAAAATGTAATAATATACAGTGTGTTCCATTTAAAAAAAATAAAACTTTGATATTTTTTATTTATTGGGGACACTCCGTATCTTGTAAAAATATTTTTAAATTGTAGCTCTAATAGTCCTTTAACGAACCCAAAACTTACAATTTGTAAAAACCTAGTCGTTTAGCTACAATACTCCGTGTCGTATGTGGCGAACAACCCTGTATACCTATTATGTAATATTAGCAAAATTTAGTATATAATAATTTTATTGTTAATTAAATGTACATGTGTATTAGTTTAATTCAGAATACCACTTCTTAAGTAATTTTATGGAGATTTGGACGGAACGTGAAAATTTTCATTTCCTCAGCATGTATTACTTCATGTAAAATGCTAATGTGATACTCTGCAACTTTCATTGTATGGTTTATTATTTAGAATAATAATTTTCGTGTGACGAACGTTTGAACGTCACTTTAATGCGTTATTAAATATCACCATTCTTCATCTTTCGATTTTTGCTATACTACTGGACCGAATTGAACGAATTGATAATCATTATACGCAGAATTTAATGGTCTTTAATTTTTGTAATAGTGAAATATTGGCTAGAACGCAACGTTTCGGAAGTATAGGTGAAAATCTGAAAAAAGTCCAAGAATCTTACCATATTTTGGTCTTCCTGATTCGAGTGGCGGTCGAGCAACTGTGCAAAACACTTTTTTTCAAGTGACCTCTATAATAGATCTTATTTGACTGGCCTATTCGTCATGTCCAATAATAAAAATACTAACAAAGCCCCATTAGTGTTTTCTGGAAGAATTCAATAAGTAATTATCGATAGCATCGATCGGTTACGACATTTCGAACCGATTTTTATCGAGGTGGGATGATAGCACCGATCACCTTGACTGGCCGGCGCGTCCTTGTTTGAAGCAAAAATACTACATCAGGATGCTTAACCAGATGTTCGTACGTTCATAGTAATTGCGCTCAGACGGATCTTAACTCTATTATCAATTTTTTTATGATCGTGTCTGAAAAAAATCGTCGGTAACTAAAAAAAACATAAACGCGATGGTACTTTACGGATATAGTACTTATTATGTAGAGAGAGAAAAAAACTTAAGTAATTGCAATGTAATGAAGTAATTGTTCAGGTGAATAGTTGTTATATTGATTTTTTATTGTATCAAGCTATTTTAGAATGACCTAGGTCCTGATACTAAAGCTGCATTTACATTAGAGGCGAATTCGTACCAGAGCCACAAAAGGACCACTAAAGGTCTACGCATATCTTCTAAAAACATGCGTTCATTATCTCACTTAAAAAAATTCTCAGACAGTGTCTTTTTCCACAATTACGAAAAACTATACAGAAAAATGTATCATAAGACTAGAAGAGCCGCTAAGGACCTTCATTTAATAGGAGAATCGCCAATTCTGGTAATGTTGCTAAAGAAAAAAGCTCCAGAAGAGAGCTGTTCGATATTCACTGGGACTACACAGCAGAACTCATTGCCAGGACTTTTTTTAAAAATTAAAAATATTAACTCTTCCTTCCTTATTTACAGTACGTCTGTCCGTTCTATGGCTACGGGGTATCCGTGAGAGGGGAAACGATATTCTCTCGATGTTTTTCGTAAAAAATTAGACGACGCGTCCCATCAATAAAAATTCGACAAATTTACAAGTAGCCAATAAAATTAGTGGGCGGAGCGATTTGCGGTGACGTACTTGTCAAGTCGACGTATAAAATATATTGCTGTTTATTTAAATGTTTTTTGTCCGCATTCCTTTCATAGACACAGATCCAGCAAACGAACTGTACATATATTTGAATCCGTTTGCCTAATACGTAAGCATGTATCAGCTTCTCAAGAAAGGCCATCTCACACTTATCCACTCAGGAACGCGGAGCAAGATCTTTATCTACCTACCCCACGCTCAGAGTTAGTTAAAAGTTCAATATTATACAACTCGAAAAAAATGCACAATCCATAACATCATTTTCTTCATTTCGCAAAGTATTGAAATCTTATTTACTAGACAAGGCTTTCTACGACGTAAATGACTTATATTCAGTGGTGAAGCTATGGGGTGTGATGGGGGGGATGCCCCCCCCCCAATGTATAATTGACTTGGGAAATTAGTCATGACAACGCGACGTCTGAATCCCAAATTTGTCAAAAATAAAAAAAAAAATTGCCGTTGCACTAATGTGAAGCGGACATTGCCATCAACTTAGATTTACAACAATAATAACACCTTGGGCCACTTTGAAGACCAGACGACTAGTCTATACTAATCTATACTAATATATAAAATCCTTAAGTGACTAACATACTGATTAATCACGATCCTGCTTAAACCACTCAACGTAAGAAGCTCAATTTTGGCATACAGGTTGATTCTAGGGTGTAGAGGTTCGATAAGAAGGGATTTTTCGAAATTCCAGTTCCAAGAGGAAACCACCCCTCAAATATTACAATATTTTTTAATTAAAAAACGGTCAAGTTTCCGAAAAAAATGCTTAAACACGTATATTTTATTTTGTTTTTTTACATATTTTATGATTTTTTAAAAATGTATACAGGGTGTTTCGAAAAATCTGGTCATTGATTAATCACGATCCTGCTTAAAGCGCTTGACGTAAAAAGCTGATTTTTGGAAAACAGATTGACTTTAGAGTGTAGAGGTTCGATAAGAAGGGATTTTTCGAAACTCGAATTCTAAGGGGGTTCTACCGGTTTTTCGCAAAAACTCTTAAACACGTATATTTTATTTTGTTGTTTTACATATTTTAAGATTTTTTATAAATTTATACAGGGTGTTTCACAAAATATGACAATTGAGTAATCACGATTCTGCTTAAACTGCTTGACGTTTAAAGCTGATTTTTGGCAAACGGATTGAATGTGGGCAGGGGCGCAACTAGACACCTACTTTTGGGGGGGCTCAAGCCCTGAGACTTCTAAAGTTATACAGGGTGTCCCAGAAATAAATGCAAGTATTTTAAGGGGTGGTAGATCTC